GCGGGGCGGGAGCCTGGCAAGCCGCGGGGACTAGGTAGGTCTGGGATGTCCAGCTGCTTGTGTGGCCCCGGGAGCAGGATGAGCCACCTGCCTGGGAAACTTTATGCACTGGCTTTATGGCTCCTCATCCCCAAAGTTTGTTTGCGGAGAAGTGCACCTGACGTGTCCAGAATGAAAGGTGCTTCTCCCAGCCAGTTTGCTGTGGAGGAAATTATTTTCCCCACCTCTAGGGAAAGGGTTGTTTTCCGGATGCTAGTCTCCGCGCTGGGGTTTGGGGAAATGCAAGGTAGGTCCCTCTGGCTTGCCCTTAGCTGCAGGGGATTTTCCCGGATTGCAGTCAAAGTTGAAAAATAAAAAGTTGTGCACCCCAGGGCTGCAGAGGAAGAATCCTAGGTGCGTAGTTCAGGGGGCAAGAGCTGGATGCTGATGTGCCAAAAACTCTCCTCTTGACTCCTAGGTCTAAGGGAGCCAGGGTGCAGGTTTTTTCGGTTAACTGTCAAGTTTTCCAGGTTGCATTTTCTTTCCAGTAACAAATCTACAGTCTTATATGAAATCCCCTACTGTGTTTATTTCGCGGATTTTCTCTGATGGGGTGTAGTGCATGTTTCTGGAGCTTGGACCCCGGTTTTGGCAGCTTCTGTGTTCTCTGAGGAGCCCTGCAAAGCTAACCAAGCAGAAAATACCAGAAACACAAAACCAGGAAGTGCCAGCCAGGCACCCCTAGTCACAGCACCATCAGGAAATTTTTGGTTGCAGAAAATGCACAAAAGGCTTCTGGGCTCTGATTCTGCAAAGCTCCGCATGGCTCGCTAATCCGCATGTCCTTTCTTGTATTGTTATTTCCTTACTGATTTACAGCAAGGAGATGCGCTCAGAGGAAAGATTTAATGACAAACGGGGTGCCCGCTATGGTGAGGATATCAAACCTCCTGTAAGAACCAAAGGGAAGGGAACAGATAGAGCTCTGGGAAAGGGTTCGCAGGTCTGTTAACCTCAATGGGCAAGATGTGGGGAAACAGAGCTAGAGAAAGCAATAGATTGGGAGATTTGAGATGTGCAGGAGGGAGGTCAGAAATCGCAGCTCATGCCGTGAGTATGTAAATCCAGAAATAATTTTAAAATGATTAAGCAAGAATAACTTAAAAAAAAGTAAGACTGTACTTGCTGCGATTTCTGTCTACCCCCACAGAGATGAATATTACACTAACAGAAAAAGAATCCTGATCTGTAAATAGATTAAAAACTGAAATTAATCAGAACAATGAGTCAGAACCTCCAGAGATTGAAAGGAGAAGTAATTGCCTTTGAAAGAGCTATTATATCTCAATATTGAAGTCAACTGTGTTAGTTTTGCTTTGCTAGCTGTGTTTACTAACGGAAACCTACTTTGGCTGCAGTAACCTAGCATCTTAGTTAGTGGTTTTAACCCTTTGTGGGCCATGGTACTTGGGAAGAAGTTGTCTGGAGATGGAGATGGTTAGTATTCACATCCATTCGTGCAACATTTGTAAGATGCCTAATATGTGGAAGCCACTGATTACAATGGGACAGCTTCATAAAAGACAACTCAGAGGGCTCAGAGGTGCTAAATGAAAAGATGATTGATGCAAATAATGTGTAGAATCAGAATTTTAGAATGCTTGAGAGTCAACATGTGGTTTGAAAACACCCAAGGGAATCAGTATCCTCCAAGGAAACATAGCAGACTGTGCATTCTTTTATTAGAACAAATGGTAGGGCTGAATGTAAGCAAGTGACTCCTTAGACAGGAGGAATAACTGAGATACCTAGCTGCTTATTAATTTGCAGAGTAATAGATTCAGGAAGTGGCCACCTCTGATGGTGACATTTAGCCCCGTGTCCTCCTCACTGTCTGGATATCATTAATGTCAGCTGGGAGATATGGAGGCATAAAGTTCCATTCTCCAGAAGAACCCTAACTTTTGAATATTGTTCACAGCACAACCAGGTATCCCAAGTATTTCTTAAAATGGGAGCACCACATTTAATAGGACTAAAATGCTGAGCAATTTCAGTTGGAGCAAAGATTAGCTGTGGACAACAAGCTGTAGCCTTTCAGTTGTTGATTTATGTACAACTTTATCACTGTCACATTTCATATATGCCTAGTTATTACAAACTAATAGCCTCTTTGCTCTTCCATCAAAATACGCATCGTTCTCTTTTATAAGTGCCTAATTCCTTCTCATTCATTCAGTGAACATCTTCTGTCTTTGTTTTTACTGCATAATTTAAGTGTCCAACTTGAAGTTCTCATTAACTTCTAATATGTTTTGTGCTGAAAGAGTATATGGATATAATTGCTCCTTTCAGACTGCAGGGATCTATATATTATTGAACTTTGGCAATGCCACAAAATAGAGAATCTATGACTACTGGCTCAATGTTCTATGTTTTCCAGTTCACCAGTTAGTATGTTAGCAGTAAAATGTTAATTCTGTGCAGTGTAAGATGTTCAGATGGCAGGAGGATTTATCGCTGTTGTGTTTGTTTGCTTGCCATCTCTGATTTGAACATCACCAGCAGTCCAGCTTATCTTAGCCAGTGATTTTTTTTCTCTTGAAAAACAAGGTTCTCTAGGTGCTTGCCCATGATGTTGAATAAGCATATACATATATATGTAAGATTTTTTTGTATGTATGTGTGTGTGTGTATATATATATATACATATATATATATATATATATATATATATATAGTCATTTTATGCTGATGAACTGTTACTTCTTATGCTTAATGATAGTGTATTGGGTAATATTTTGCAAAGATATTTGTTATTAATGAGGATATTTGACTATAGGACAGTGAAGATAGAATTTCTTTGAAATTTAGGGGTGACAGTTCTCAGATTCAGATCTGACTTGTATAAAGATTTCAGAAATAGATCAAGTGTGCAAAACAGTTTTGAGTTTGCAGTTCCCCCATCTCCTAAAACACAGTGGGACATTTCTTCGGAAAATTTGCTGCATAAGTAATACACTCGGTTGGTAAAACTTTGTATGCCAAGTTTCAATCCGTAGTACATTTTTATTTTCCTCCTTTTTATGTACATGTTATAAACAAGAAATAAGGGTTTGTAATAGAAGTGCTGGCAGGACTTTATAGCATTTCAAACAGCTCTGCTACTTGGAATGTAAATATTTGTAGAATCTTTACTGTGTAAGAAGCTGCCTTGCAAAGAGTGAGGGAAAATGACTCTTTTATTAAGTAGGAAAAGATAATTCAGAAGATATGCATATTCCTTATTGCAGACATATTGGCATTTGAAGAAATAGATTATCTGTGTTACAGCAGTTCTGCAGCACTCTCATAGGTGTCTTGATAAATCAGCTTGGATATTTTCTATGTTCTTAGGCAGGAGACAATTTCGTCTAGTTTGTTTTCTAATTCGCTTGACTTTGATTACCTTTCAGATGTTAAGACATGGGATCCGTAGCTCAAAACCTGCTTTGATGGTATGACTCTTAAGGGAGGATGTCAATATATTATTTTAATAGGATAAAGAATTCTTGGGGCTGTTACAGTACTTCGCATAGTCTTATTTTGGAGACCTGGAACAACTCAGATCTCATGTAGTCTTTCATTCTGAATAGAAAATATTTCTCAAATTTGTCCATGCCCCTTCATCTCCACCCACAGCATCCTGTTCCAAGTCACCCCATTTTCTCCCCTGGGACACTCTCCCTGGCTTCCCTTTCTCCTTTTTCACTTCCTCCCCCTGGTCAATCCACACAACTTGGCACTATTTTTAATGTAAGTTAAATTGATACTCCTCTACTGACAATACCTACATGGCTTTCTGTTGTACTTAGAATAAAATAAGAAATATTATATATTGCCTACAATGCTGTGTAGGATGTAAATACTACCTGTCCCTTCAACATCTCATATCGTGCTTTGGGGAGCAACAGTGTCCTAAAGTTCAGCATTTGTGTTGAGTGTTTTTGTGCCTTTAGGATGATTCTGTCCTTTTCCCTGGTGGTCCCCTAATCCTTGTCCCTAAACTCAGATGTCATGTGTCCACATACGTGGAGTTTTTGACTGCTGCTTATGCCCTAGGTCTTGATTTAAATACCATTAGACAGTGTAGGTTCTGATTTCTGTTGTACTCGCTGGTCGCACACCTCTCTGGGCTCTTTCTGCCCATTGTCCTCATAGCTTCTGTTGTAACTTGGAGCAGTCCGTTTCCTTATTCCATGTGCGCTCTCCTGTAAGCACTTTGGATGTGCACCCCACCTCTGTTTTGCTTACCAGTGCAGGGTGCCACCTATCAGAGTACTGTTCATACTGAGTTTGATAGACTCGTTAGATCTAAGCCTGTGCAGGTGTTGGGTTTGCAGCATGTGCCCACTGCACTTTGTGACCAAAGATCCTGCCCATCAAGATAGCCTCTATTCAGCAGAAGTCACTGCTGACTGTCACAGTGTTCTCTCTGTCACATTGCCATGATCCTTGGACATCTGCTACTTCAAACCCATTGTGTCCAAAATGGAATTTATCACTTCTTCTGAAGCGCTTTAGCTTAGAGATCCCTTCTTTCCTTAACCCTCATCGTGGTTGTCAGGGCATGTGACCTGAGTGGTCATTGGGCCTTTGCTCTTGTAGTGAGTCAACTGATTTAATGAACGAGAACCATCCTGGGCCAACCACAAAACAGAGCCTTCTTAAACCTCCTTGAAAATGCAATGACACCCTTATGGCTTCAGGTTCCTTTCATGAGCCTAGAATACTATGGCTACCACTCCTCTCCCTTTCTTCCCATCTAGATGTGACTCTACCCCCAATTCACTGTGGTTTCTACCAGGAAAACTCTGCCTTCTGACATTGGCTTGGGTAATACCCACCCATCCATTTCATCCCAGAGGCCTTGACTACCATCCAGACAGCTTAAACCACAAACACAAGGAGTCTCTACTCCCAACCATTTAAAAAAGTGTCTTCTTTTCTGTGAAAATGTATTATGATTTAATATTATAAAATTGTTTAATGTCAGCCTTTTCTAATAATCTGGGG